GCTAGGCTGGATGAAGCACAAGCTGGAATCAAGATTGCCGGGAGAAATATCAATAACCTCAGAAAAGCAGATGACACCATCCTTATGGCAGAAAGCAAAGAACTAAAGAACCTCTTGATGAAAGTAAAAGAGGAGAGTGAAAAAGTTGGCTTAAAGTTCAACATTCAGAAAACTAAGATCATGGCATCTGGTCCCATCACTTCATGGCAAATAGACGGGGAAACAGTGGAAACAGTGACAGACTTTATTTTGGGGGGCTCAAAAATGACTGCAGATTGTGATTGCAGCCATGAAATGAAAAGATGCGTACTTCTTGGAAGGAAAGTTATGACCAATCTAGATAGCATATTAAAAAGCAGAGACATTGCTTTGCCAACAAAGATCTGTCTAGTCAATGCTATGTTTTTTCCAGTAGTCATGTACGGATGTGAGAGTTGGACTATAAAGAAAGCTGAGCGCGGAAGAATTGATGCTTTTGAACTGTGGTGTTGGAGAACACTCTTGATAGTCCCTTGGACTGCAAGGAGATCCAACCAGTCCATCCTAAAGGAAATCAGTCCTGAATATTTATTGTAAGGACTGATGCTGAAGCTGAAGGTCCAATCCTTTGGCCACCTGATACGAAGAACTGACTCTAAAAAGACTCTGATGCTCGGAAAGCCTGAAGATGGGAGGGAAAGGGGACGACAGAGGATGAGGTGGTTGGATGGCATCACTGACTCAATGGAGACACGAGAGCATGGGCTCCCTCCCCACCCCGGGTCCCATGGAGCTCGGAGAAGCGTCAACACAAGGAGGAGGATGCATGGTGCAGGGCGGAGCTGACCCCCAGGGAAGGGCAGCCTGCTGACAGAGTCCTGCGGATGCTTGGGGCCATTCAAAGGCCCAGCAGAGAAATCTGGGAGCCTGCTGCCCTTGCCGTATCTCCCCAGAGGGATGACGGGGGCCTGGAAAGCTCTGTCCTGCCAAGCATCCAGCTCCCTGCTCCCCCTGGAGGCCCCAGGGATTAGGAGCTCATGGGAGGGGCACTACAGGACACAGTGGGGGCCAGGCCAGTGCATGGCACCGTGAGCCACTCACGAGGAGTCGGGCCAGCAGCTTCTGTGGTGTGGGCAGATCCACTGGGGAGAGAAAGATACAGGACACCGAGGCTGTCCTGCTCCCGTACACCAGGGGAGCTTCCCCTGCATGGTGTTGCCCCAACAGCATCCCAGCGCCCCCCAGAATGCAGAAGGGATCAGGATGGGGGATTTTCCACAAAGAATATCACTACAACTGGCCATCCCAGTTCATTTGAGTCCACCCAAACCACGGCTCTCGGGGCTTGGAGACCACTCCGGGCTTGGAGCCACTTCACAGTCAGGCAGAGATCTTGCAGAAGACAAAGGCCGATGGGATCACCAAACTCTCGTTTTGAAGCAGCAAACAGGTCACTGCTGCCCCTGGTTTCACTGTGTGCCAGGCTGCTGAGGCGTGGAGAGGGGCAGGGCTGCAGGCCCATCCCAAGCCCAAGTCCTCCCTTTATGCAATTTAAAAGGCAACCGTGGTGGCACGACTTTGTCCTCAGCAGAGGTCCTGGCTCACCCTCCCCATCTTTCCCTAGTACAGTATGTGCACGAATGGCTGACTCAACTAAGGGCAGGGCTTTCCTGGGATATTGCTCATTTGGGGAGGCGGCAGCAAATGGGGGTGGGGAACAAGGTCAGGTCAGAATCACCTAGCATAATATATGTAACATAATAGGTGCTCATCAATTTAGTTGCTTCTTAAGTCTGTGAGAAAGAAGTAAGGAGGTGTTATGAACTAGAGGACCGAATTAGTTCATGATTCTTGGCTTCACAAGAAGACACATTCAGAACGAGGGCTGGTTTTATTTTCCAACAGAATCTTCTTTAATATAAAACAAAGATAAAACACATCTCAACCCTGCAATCTGCCAGCATGCCTTGTTTCTACAAGACGCATGCTAGTCCATTAAGACTAAGTAGCAAAGAGTCTTTAGGAGCATTTGATTGGGAGAAATAGAAAAAGCAGATCTTAGGGAAACCTGGGCAAGGCCCACAGCTGAGATACATCCCCAAACACTAGAGCAGTCCTTGTCTTTTTAGATCCTCGTATGTCTTCTTATTCACAACATTCCCACTGGAGTCTTCATACTCTTCCTAAAAGGGAAGAAGGACGCCATTAAGCACAACTCCTGGGAGAAATATTCAGACCAGCCTCTGGGTACCTGAGCTCAGCCTGCCTGATTCCACGCCATTCATCCGAAACAGCCTTTCCAACCTGGGGTTCTGCTCTACTGCCCGCGGCATCCACTGGACATCTAGAATGGTGCCAATTATGACCGATCCTTGGGGATATCTGAGAAAATTGTGTATTCAAATCACTTTCTGTGTATAAGATGAGG